TAATCAGGGCGACCCAACATTATTGGTGGGCTAAAGCAAAATCTCAATGAGAGGCCCTAATTCGTTAACAAAATAAATTTATATATTTTTGTTTGAAGTTTATTTTTAACTTTTTTTAGATGCAAAGTTATTAATAATTTTCTTACAGCGAGTTATTCTCCTAAAGTGTTGTTGATCCTATGCAAAATAGTTATAGGATACCAATTTATGAGGAATATAGATATTTGGAAAAAAAATTAAGTCTTGTCATCTTATTGAGTATACCGATCAGATTATTATCTTCTACTAGTAGTATTTTCTTTAGCATTATATAATTTAAAAATAAGCTAAACTACCACATCAGACTATTATGTTTTTATCGAGGCTAAGGCCTTTTTTTTTTATTCTTATCATCTAGTGATCTCAAATTTTACCCACTAAATAAAAAATCAAAAATATCAATATACCCTTTAGATTATTCAAATCTCAACGATTAACGTCAGTAACAAATAAAAAATTTCTTTTCATTTTTGTATTACTTTTTGTTTTTTACTTTTTAACGTTAAGATACTCAATTTTTTACTAAATATAAGATTAATACCAATGCAAAGTGGAGTCCCTAAAATTTTGGTGTCCAAAGTCATTGCTTGGGTTGCCTTACCCTTCAGTCGGCTTTGTGTGTAATATATATATATATATATATACTTCAAATAAATGACAATACTAAAAGTGGGTAGTAAAAGTTTAAAGATATGCAGCTGAATCTGGGACTATTGTCCAGATCAGGCTATAGTGAGAGAAATAATATGTAAATATTACTTAGTAAATAAAATTATTTAGTTACCAACAAAAGAAAAAGTTTAAAGAAGTTTATAAGAAAAATAGCTTATTGGTAGCAAAGTAATTTACTTCTTTACTATTATAAATAGAATTTTATTTATGGTGAATGTTTATATTTAGAGAGATTCTAGGAATTATTACTTGGTGGCTAAGTCACTCTTTGCTTATAAATAGAGGGTTCTATTCTATTGTAATTCATCTCAAAGCAATAAGAATTCTCTATCCATCTCAAAGCAATAAGAATTCTCTATCTCTTTCTTTGCAATATTCTTCTTTTATTGTTTTATAACACGTTACCAGCACGAGACTCTAACCAATTGAATAGAATCTTTGGGATTGAGCATAATGATTGCCAGTTATTCCATGAATTTCCTTCGCGATTAAATTCTGGATTTAAGGTAAGTATTTTCATTTATTTTTCTCTTTTAAATTCTTGACTAATTTGATTTTACATAGAAGCAAAAACGATAAATTTTGATTCTAACTCTAATGGAGTTTGAAAGAAATTATAACCACCCAAAGTGGTAAATTCTTTATGCTTTGCTATGATCAAATTCATGTACGATTGTGGGTAAGGAATTGAAAACTCATCTCATTGAATTTGCTTCATTCTTATTCCCTTAAAAGAATGTGATAGTAGTATGTGATAAGTCTTAAAGAAGACAAAAGTATTACTATGAATGTATCAATGGATGTGGACGTAGCAATAGACGAAATTATAATCGCCATCATTGTGGTAATGAGAACAATAAGAATTCTCAAAATAATCCTTAACTTTGTGGAAGTAATATTTGTCATCGATTTGACATGAGATTTTGTAAAGCACATATAGATTATTATGGTCCATTCATGATGTGAATGTAACAATATGTGATTTATGAATACATATTCATTCTTGGAAAAATATGAACGTGTTAATGGTAGTGAATATACCATACTCACCTCTAGAATGAGGTTTGAGCGGAAATAAAAAAATAATATCATTATTATGGCATGAATGGTCATTGGTCACATACCTATTGTCCGCCAAAATATTTTGGCGATGTGATTATTAAAAGGCAACAATAATGCAAGGAACAGATCTTGTATAGAATTCTGACCATGACCATAATGGTATAACTTTCTCTTTAAAAGAGATATTCACCATAAGGATGTTGATGAATATGTAGCAATACCAAATTAGTTGAGAGCTCTGGAAGATCCAATTATTACTATTTTGGAGGAATAAAATTGATTATCAATAAGGCATTATGTTGTAGTAAGTCGCAAAGAAACTTAATTGATTTTCTAAGGTATTCGCGAAAGCGGATGCTTATATTGAGACTATAAATAAAGGAAAGATTTAATATCTTCTATTACTGTAACTTGTAGCGGGGTAATATGTATGTGAAAAATTACCCGCTTTATTCTCCAATTTGTACTACACAAATAAAAGAATACCACAATAAAGTGGATGTTTATTGATATAAAAATCCGTATCATAATAAACTTGAAGTTTACTGATAATTGCACACGTCATGGTGTAAATTTGAACTTTATCAATATTGAGAGTTTATTTAGTTGGCATAATTGTTTTAGTCATATTAATTTAAGTATGATGTGCAAAAATAAAAGAGAATTCACACGGGTAAATATTAAAAAACTACAAAGTTCTTTACGAATTCTCTTACGTTGCTTGTTTTCATAAATTAATAGACCAACTAAATTGGGATTGAATCCCATGAATACTGGAAATATCAAAGGTGAATACGGACTTATTCACCTGGCATGTATACCACATAAGATGCATGTATGAGATAGTTGCATGTGCGATTATTATTAACCGCAACATGGTGCTTTGTGAGGTAACTTGCTCAATAATTTAATTTCGAGCATAATTTTCAGATTTTCTATTCAAGAAGTTCATCTTGATAAGTTGGTTTACATCACAGTTAGTTTGGCAAAATGATTTATTGAGTGCCTCCACTTAATAGTTAAACTATTTATTATGAGAACAAAGTTATATATATATATACACACACACACGTTATATACGAAAGTATATTATTTTCTCCCCTCACAAGTGGTTCAGGGTTAGGAACCAAATAATTCCATCTTATTATTATTGATGTGCGGTGTATATTTTGATTAATACCATAACACACAAAGATGGGTTCTCAAAGTTGAGGAAACAAGTTAGTTTTTCTAACATGAAGGAGATGCATGATAAAAAGTTGAGAAAAAGTTATGTGGAATGAATTATCATGTGTAAATCTAGATCCTTGAATAAGATAATATGAACTTGAAGTTCATAAAAGGATAATTCATTTGCAATATATTGCAAAGTATGCCAGACGCATTTGCTGACCCGAAGAAAGTAGCTATATTCTCATTGCAAATGCTACTATTAAGTCCTGGAAGGACAAAGTCTATGGTACGCTTAAAGCGTATAGACAAATCGGTTCCAAATAAACTTCTAGATAAAGAAGATGAACAAATGATTATAATAAAGGAGGCAAGTGATCTAGAAGATCACATGACATAGCACTTCATAAAATCTCATGAGAGGGTCAGGTACCTGAAAATATAAATGGATATATCTCTATGTTATGTCTTTATGAAAAATAAGGAGGTTGGAACTGATATGAAATATTCGTCGACAACATCTATGATAGCACTAAATATATATGAGGATCTTAAGTTTGGAGAAACAATTTCGAATAGAATTGGTTTCATATGAAAGACATGTAATTTTGGACATATAGTTCAAACACTTGAAAGTATAAAGTCAATTGTATGTGCAATCAGTTTTCAATATCTTATTTGTCTAGCATGACATAAAAACTTGATATGCATCTAAAGTCTATTCATATGGCTTATGTGATTTAACTTATATGACAATCCATGAAGAAGTTAATTTGCTTAAAGCATATAAAATTCTTGGTCATGAAGTACTATATCCTAAGTGCAATTTGTGCACATATGTATCTTGCTATAACTATAAGCATGATAATGTGATAGTGATAATCTCTATGGAGATATTGCAGAGGCTATTCCACGGCATTTTATGAAGACATTGCATATCTCTGAAGAATGATGATTTCAAGGTGCAACATATTCATTCAAGATAATATGGCTGATTTATTTATCAAATCTCTACCAACAATCTTTTGAAGATGATGCACATGATCGTAATGCGAAGGCTCAAGTATGTGAATTGATGCTCTCATCATGTGGAGTTAATACGTGTTGTACTCTTTTTTCCTTACAAGAATTTGTCCAACTGGGTTTTTCTTGTAAGGTTTTTAACGAGGCAACTAAAAGACGTATTTCTAAACATGTGTACTCTTTTTCCTTCACTAGAATTTTTTTCCATTGGATTTATTTTAATTCAGGTTTTAACGAGTCACATTATCTGTTGAATAGACATGAAGGGGAAGTGTTATAAATACAATTTTATTTATGGTGAATGTCTATATTTAGAGATATTTTAGGAATTATTATTTGGTGGCTAAATCACTCTTTTCCTATAAATAAAGAGTTCTATTCCATTGTAATTATCTCAAAAGCAATAAGAATTCTCTCTCCTTATTTGCAATATTCTTCTTTTATTGTTTTATAACATTCACACTTTTACACTATTTTAATTGGAGTATCTAACTGTCGGAAAAACTAATTAGAGTATCTAACTGGACTTTATACAAAAGTTTCATGACACACCCTTTCCCCACAGGTTTCGGTTATGACGTTTAAAACCTCCTTAACTATCAGCACATGCCCATAACCTCCATATCCTCCAATACCTCCAAACTAAGCGGTCGTTTGGCAGGAGGTATTAGAAGAAATAATGCAAGCATTAGCTCTATGCATTATTAATACCTTGCTTGGTATATTTTTTTAATATATGTATAACTACATCATACTTGGTATTATCCTATGCATTAGTAATGCATAGAAAATCATGGCATTAGTAATACCAAGGCTATTAATGCATGCATTAATATGTTTAAAGATAAAATTATCCTTAAAGTCCTTTTAAAGCTAGAGAATATGGAGTGTATTTTTGTAAACAACTATTTTTTAAAAAAATTATGCAATGCATTATAATTTGAATACAGCACACCAAACAGTAAATAAGAAATAATATATGCACAACTAATGCTTGCACTAATACATGCATTGCTAATACACCTTATTCCGCATTATTATGCCTGAGGTTTTTGCCTTAAACTTTGTCTGTGAATCTCCAAACCCACTTAAACAGTAATGGAGAAAAGGGAGGAGGTGAAAGAGGTGGTGGAAGAGGAGGAACAAGTAGTGAATCCATGGGAAGTATCAGCAAAAGACGGCGGTAAGATTGACTACAACAAATTAATCGATAAATTCGGTTGTCAGAGGCTCGACGATTCCTTAATCCAACGTGTTCAACGCCTCACGAATCGGCCGGCTCATGTTTTCCTCTGCCGCGGAGTTTTCTTCGCTCATCGTGATTTTAACGACATATTGGACGCTTATGAAAAAAGGCAAAAGTTCTATCTATATACTGGCAGAGGACCTTCCTCTGAAGCCTTGCATTTGGGTCACCTTATCCCCTTCATGTTCACAAAGTAATTAAATTAATTCAGAGGACTTGACTGCAACTTTTTTTATTTCTAAAAAGAAGCTTTTTTGTGTGTGTGAATTTATTTTGTTTTTGTTGTGTTTAGATATTTGCAGGATGCATTTAAAGTGCCGCTAGTAATACAATTAACAGATGATGAGAAATGTATGTGGAAGAATTTGTCAGTGGAAGAAAGCCAAAGACTTGCTCGTGAGAATGCTAAAGATATTATTGCTTGTGGATTTGATGTTTCCAAGACTTTCATTTTCTCTGATTTCGATTATTTTGGTGGGTAAGTGAGTAACTTTGGTTTTTCCCCCAATAGTGTTTGGCACTCTTGCGGAAAATGTTTATCTTGAGAATCCTTTTTTGATATTTTTCAGTGTTTAGTAGGTAAGCAAGTAAGCATATGGTGATCATACAAGGAGTTGTATACAGTATAAAGATAGTGTTTTGGTGATATTTTGAGTTTTAAAAGTTGAAATAATGTCTAACAGATGATTGAAGCAACTGATGCAGCGTGAGAGTTGGGATATTTGTAAAGTCACACAAGTCATTTTCCTTTTTGGGGGGAAAATGTCCTCAATATAAAAATATTTTTTCTTTAGGGGGGCGGGGAGAGGAGGTGATATGTTATTTGGTTTTCATGTTTACATTTGTTGCTATGGAGGTGATCAGACTTAATGTTGCCTTTTAGAATGATAATTTTAGCTTTACATGGTATATCATAAGTAAAATTTAAGTGGTCGTAGTCGTACAAGGATGCAATCAACTTGTGGTTTCTTACTACTTTGTGTGTACAGCTCCAGGAGTGTATTTTCTGGTATTTTCATAGTTTTATGGTCCGTTTCTAACAAGAACTTTTTGCACAGCGCCTTTTACAAGAACATGGTGAAGGTTGCAAAATGTGTCACATACAATAAGGTGATTACTGCTTACTTTACATCTAGAGGAGCATCTTATGTTAATAGGCTTTTGATCTATTATGCTATGCGGTTTGTTTTTCAGGTGGTTGGCATTTTTGGTTTCACGGGTGAAGATCACATTGGGAAAGTTAGTTTTCCACCAGTTCAGGTAGCATACTCCTGAATGTGATAACCATAGTCTGCTATTAACTTACTCTATTTTTATTTGAGAAGGATGATTAACTTACTCTATTTTATAAACCCTTTTTTAGATTTCGTTATAATACCAAAGTTAGTGAAGTATGTGCCTTATGTTTCGTATTTGTTTTCTTATTTTCATGTCAAATAGATAAGTTGAGAGCTTGAAGAAGCTGGAACAGTATACTTTACNCCCCCCCCCCCCCAAACACACACACACGCACAGAAAAAAAAAGAAAAAGCTGAATAGTTTGAGTTTATATGGACTTGTCCTCTCCTCAAACTTGAGGAATTTGATTTGGTTTTGAATGATAGAGAAACTTAGACAGCTGAATTTACAAAATTGCAGGCTGTTCCATCCTTCCCCAGTTCATTTCCTCATATGTTTTCTGGCAATGATAACATCCTCTGCTTGATTCCATGTGCCATAGACCAGGTTTGTTCTTGCTCCTATATTTCTTTGTCGGATTTCTTCGATTTTTTTGACCTGTGGTTCCTTCAAATTTCTAATTATATTTGAATGATTAAGCAATATGCTTCGCAATTATTAAAAAGGTGGAGCAATATGTTTTGTTGTCAAAAAAAAAAAAGTTTTGGTTATATAGTCGGTTGGGTGTCTTTTGTCCGAGAGTGATGGTTATTTCCCAATCATTAGAAGCAATCTTCACTGGCACAAAGATCTCTTCATAACATCCTAATTATAACCTCCACTATGATAGAAGCCATTGAGCTCATGTAAAGAGTTCTCTTATGATTTGTATGTTTTATTGGGAGGCTTGAATTGATTGTACACATTCTGCACTACTGTTAAGTTGGCAGGCAACATCTTTATGTGATATCCACTAAAGATATTTGACTAATCAAAGGAAAATGCCGGATGGGCCATGTCATATTCCTGTTCAAATGATGGTATAGTATTTTTAGGATTCAAGTTATTTTCTCGTTATATTTCTAGAAGTTGGAAGATAAAGAACTGTTGTAAATACGTGATCTCATATAAGATGAACATTGATCAAATACAGAGTAACTTTTTTTTTTTGTCTATGTGGCAGTAAAGCAAAATGAAAATCAGAGAGATGGTTTAATGCTTTTTTCTAATACAAGTACGATCTTTGGTAGATCTCTGCTTAAGAATTGTGCACTATGTTGCTTGCCTCCCTGATTTGGAAAAGGATTAATTTTTTAAGAATGAGACTGTTGATTCAACTATACTTCTTAACCATGCAGTTGCGCTCAAATACTCTTTAACAATTGTAAATTGGCTAGTTCGTGGGCTGCGCTTATTGATACATCATTTAGCAAGTTCAAGATTTGATGTAGATCTGCTTAGTTAAATAGGTCAAATAACTAGAAATTCCCTAGTTTGCTTGAAATTAAACTGGTTAGATGATAGATAGACAATATCATGTTACTTAAAAAAAAGGATGGAATCGTGCTGGTTTTTTGGTGCTTCAGTTCTTTNATCGGTAAATGATTTTTCAGGATCCTTATTTCCGAATGACTCGAGATGTCGCTCCCCGGATAGGTTATCACAAGCCTGCTTTGATTGAATCATCTTTCTTTCCTGCCCTTCAGGTTTTTTCCCCCTCCTTATACACCAGTGACTGACCAATATTAGTTCTGTTACAAATTTACAATGAAGTTTCACTATGATGATGCTTCTGTTACTTCGCATTTTACAATTATTTAGTAATTTGTTCTATTCCATTTATTTATCCGTCCTCAACTTCTTGTTGCTACGAGGTTTTAACTTTTCTGACTGCAAGCTGACCAGGACACTACTATAATTAAAAAAAGATATTGCGTCATCAATAATCAAACAGTTAGAAAGAATCATTCTTACGTACCTATCATTCTGGAATCTAAAGCACCTGCCAGTGCCCTGTGGTATGATCCTTTTGACCTGTGGCAATCTTTAGAGCCTAATTTTTTGCAAATGAAAGCTATGTTCTGCTTTGGTGCTTCATTGTGGTTATATATGAGTATTTCATCGTCTAACTTGGACCTATTAACTTCTCACCTTTCTGATTGACAAAAAATTGCAGTTCACTGTGTGTGCTTTGTTACAGCTCATAGACCAGTAAATATAGCATATTTTGGTCATAGACCTATAAAACATAAATATAATTTATTTGTTTGATTTTTGTATAGGCCGAGTAATGCAGCATTCCTGAAAGCTTTATTCTCTCCCAGGAATTCTGCTTGTGCCTACGATCTGGATTGTGATGTTTCATGGTAGAGAAGCATTTCTCGACTAGGAAAACCAGTTGCCTCCTGCATAGAATTGATATGCAAAGAAGTTAAAAACACTTAAGCTTACCATAAGACATTAACTTCTCAATAGATATTAATCTTTTTTTTTTGGTTGATGAAGAAAGTAGATTCATTGCTGGCATCAAGAAGATGCAAATTGTTCAAAAGAGGTGTTGTTAGCTTCATTACATTTGTCTGTGCTATACCAGGAAGCTAACAAGTTACAAAATAAGAGACTAAGCTAATCTATTTAGAATGTTAGCTCTGGATTACAAAAAACTGTTTAATGAAAATTCCATAAAGCCTGTGGATGACAGTCCACAAGGAAACTCAAGAAAGAATTTCCTTGTTAGATGTCCAATTCAGTCAAGCAATGCCCCACGTCTTCAGTAACTTTTTCACAAAGGATTCGTCCTAATTGGAACACTGTTTGCTAGAATCATTGCCGTCCATATTGCAAATAGTCTCCATATAATGGTCTTCTAACAGATGGAAATATGTTTTGACTAATAAATCATCTTTCACATTTCCAAAATGTCAAAATAGGGTCTATATTTTTTTTTTTTCATTTTTCCCTTTCTTTTTACCACTTTCACGTGCTTCTCAGTGGAATTTGGTTCTTATTTAGTGCAATTGCAGATGATTCTTGAGTTCCAACTTAAATGAAATGGATTACTAACTATATAACGGTTATTTCATTTCAACTTTGTTCTTTTTCTGATGTGCCCACTCATATGATGTCCATCTCATTCAAATGATTTGGTAGCCAATTTTGTTGACTTGGTTTGGTTTGGTAGCCAACCTTGTTGAATTTGTATAATTTGGTAGCCAATTTTATTGACTTGGTTTGGTTTGGTAGCCAACCTTGTTGAAATTGTGAAAAGGGTGTATAAATTGTCAAATATTGTAGGCTTTAGAGAGTGAGGTTTTGGCTATAAAAGGAAAGCTTTAACTCTCATTTCTATACACCAACAAAGAGAGAAAAGAGAGAGCAAGGTATTCCATAAACTATAAGAAAATAGTTTGTGAAGAAAAATAGAGTGTGAGAGATATTGTAGTGAGGTG